GAATGATGGATGGAGACTTGTGGATCCTGCCTATAATAACCTTTGACCTAGCCTTGTAAGCCTGAATTCCTGTGAAGGTTCACATTTCTATAGGCAATCATTCATTCCATCATGTAATTAGAAGTCTCAAGAAGGTCTTTGTGTGTAACTTACCAAAACATCATAACGTATGGCTTTAATCATAGATTTCGAATAATACTAAGTTACCACCTATTTTTTCTTAGATAACCAATTATTGTAAAGCAGGCAAACCTTATGTCATTATGTATACGCCCTATGTAATTGAATTTTAAATGTATAAAATCCATTGCAGCTAGAATATTTTCACCAATAGTAATAGCAACGACCAATACTTTTAACATCAAGCTTGGATAAGATCTAGAAGTGAATATACATTGTCTATTGGTCCATATGATTTTAAACCAGACTTTTGTTGTTACCGGATGATGTGTATATTGTAATAAATATACGGTTTTAACTGCAAGACACTCTGATTCGATTTGTTCAGAAAACTGGAAAACAAATATCTCACGGAATGCAAATTTCCTACATACAGAGCGCTGGGGGGAGGGGGTCGCTGTCCCTTTGTCTCCCAAATATGGAAAGCCCACCACTCAAGTAAGGGGTCTCCCACACAGGACAACAGGGAGGTCTTCATCCCAGGAACCTCTGTGCCTAGGAGCCAAGATGCGGGAAAAGAGACCGTCCCTTTGTCTCCCAGGCACAAAAAAGCCTGCCAAACTAGCCAGTGCCCTAAAAGTGTCCCCACCAAACTCAGGCAACCTCACAATGGCACATTCCCTGACTAATCTCCATTCACGAGGTTCTTGTGCTGAAACCTGCAAGATAAGCATCTCCTTTCAGGGTATGAATGCTCCCCCTGGTTGGTGTGTGTCTATACAAAATGAAGGCCACCCTTGGGAGCATTTATTAATAAATTCCCTTATGGTTTCACACTTATGTTGCAAGTACGAACGATCTAATGAATTGGTGGGAACATTCCAATGGGGTACCGGGGAGGTCCTCGTTCGGGAGACGAAAGACTCGGGAAGCAATCCAGCAATCCAGTCGGGAAGTACGAATGCTCCCCCTGGCGGCGTTCGTCTATACGAAATGGCGGCCACCCAGGGGAGTACTCACCAACTGCTTCAATTGCGGTTTCCCACCTATGTTGCGAGTGCGAACGTTCTACTTGAACGTTTTAACTAGTGTTCTAAATGGGATATCGAGGTGGTCCCCATTGGGGAGACGATGGGGTTCCTTTCTTAGGAGCACTCCCGAACAGGCAAGGGAAAACACACAGTACAGGTGGAAAGCACCCGAACAAGCTGTGGTTCTGCCACAGTATATTTCTTGTTTTTTATTTCTGTATATTAGACATTGTGTATATGATGTATGTATGCACGCTGTAAATTCTCTTTACATTGTATCAATAGATATTGTGTACAGTGACAATCTCTCTTGGTATAGTGAGTTTGAATTTCTGGAGTGGACTTTCCAGAAGTGGCACTATGTATAATGGGACTGAGCAGGTCATGGTAACGAGGAATGAGGTTTAACTAGTTCATCCCCTAGTTACTGGGCATTGTTTGTGGTTATGGGTTTGGTTAGTGGCTCAGAAATAGAAATTGACAGTTGAGACCTGGAAATTGATAGAAGTTTCACAGTTATTCCTCGAGTTCAACTTCAGAAAGGAAAATGGAAAACAATACGTGAGTTTTTAAAAAAAAGATAAAGTCATATTGGGTGTATAGGATCATATTATTCACGTTATCTTCTCATTTTATAAGTAGAATTTTGGTACAATACATTGTTTAGACACTGTATATTTTTTATATTGTACTGTACAGAGCGCTGTATATCCTTTATACTGTATAGGGCGCTGTATTTCCTTTATACTGTACTGTACAGGGTGCTGTATATCCTTTATACTGTACAGGGAGCTGTATATCCTTTATACTGTACAGGGAGCAGTATATCCTTTATACTGTACAGGAAGCTGTATATCCTTTATACTGTACTGGGCGCTGTATATCTTTTATACAGTACAGGAAGCTGTATATCCTTATACTGTACTGGGCGCTGTATATCCTTTATACTGTACAGGGCGCTGTATATCCTTTATACTGTACTGGGTGCTGTATATCCTTTATACTGTACTGGGAGCTGTATATCCTTTATACTGTACAGGGAGCGGTATATCCTTTATACTGTACAGGACGCTGTATATCCTTTATACTGTAAAGGGAGCGGTATATCCTTTATACTGTACTGGGAGCTGTATATCCTTTATACTGTACTGGGAGCTGTATATCCTTTATACTGTACAGGGAGCGGTATATCCTTTATACTGTACAGGGAGCTGTATATCCTTTATACTGTACAGGGAGCAGTATATCCTTTATACTGTACAGGGAGCAGTATATCCTTTATACTGTACAGGAAGCTGTATATCCTTTATACTGTACTGGGTGTTGTATATCCTTTATACTGTACAGGGAGCGGTATATCCTTTATACTGTACTGGGCGCTGTATATCCTTTATACTGTACTGGGCGCTGTATATCCTTTATACTGTACTGGTTGTTGTATATCCTTTATACTGTACAGGGCGCTGTATATCCTTTATACTGTACAGGGCGCTGTATATCCTTTATACTGTACAGGGAGCGGTATATCCTTTATACTGTACTGGGAGCTGTATATCCTTTATACTGTACTGGGTGTTGTATATCCTTTATACTGTACAGGGCGCTGTATATCCTTTATACTGTATAGGGCGCTGTATTTCCTTTATACTGTACAGGGAGCTGTATATCCTTTATACTGTACTGGGAGCAGTATATCCTTTATACTGTACAGGGCGCTGTATATCCTTTATACTGTACAGGAAGCTGTATATCCTTTATACTGTACTGGGCGCTGTATATCCTTTATACTGTACTGGGCGCTGTATATCCTTTATACTGTACAGGAAGCTGTATATCCTTTATACTGTACTGGGCGCTGTATATCCTTTATACTGTACTGGGCGCTGTATATCCTTTATACTGTACTGGGTGCTGTATATCCTTTATACTGTACAGGGAGCTGTATATCCTTTATACTGTACAGGGAGCGGTATATCCTTTATACTGTACTGGGTGCTGTATATCCTTTATACTGTACAGGGAGCTGTATATCCTTTATACTGTACAGGGAGCGGTATATCCTTTATACTGTACAGGGAGCGGTATATCCTTTATACTGTACTGGGAGCTGTATATCCTTTATACTGTACAGGGAGCGGTATATCCTTTATACTGTACTGGGAGCTGTATATCCTTTATACTGTACAGGACGCTGTATATCCTTTATACTGTACAGGGAGCAGTATATCCTTTATACTTTATAGACTTGGAGACTCCTGGGCCTGAGGCCTCCATCAAGTCTGAGGGGTTTGCGCCATCGTGGGTTTGGGGCAGAGCTCATAACAGAACCTTCTCCACTGAGGCCGCTACTGCTGCATTTATCATTGCCTGGAAATCTTGGGAAGGTTGAGAGTGTCCTGCATGACTCGTTCCCGTCTTGTTGGGAGATAGTGACAGTCAGTGGGAGTAGTGTTGGAGGGTCAGCACACAGGGGTGCTAGACTTCTGGTAGAACTGGGGATCGCCCAGGTTAAACGGCTTGAATTGCCTGTTTTAGATTTTCTGAGTGTTTGAATACTTGTGCCAAGTGTAGAGGGGTCACCTCCATTAGTTTAATCTGGCTACTGAGAGCTGTGGTGCAGGCATGACTGACTGGTAGTTTTGTTGATCTGGTCAGCCGGGTTCACCACAAATGTACGCCAGAGCTGTATGCACGGTTTTTAACAATCAGGCTTATTATAGAAGCGTGTGGGGCCTGTCTCCTTAAGGTCTGCAGCCAGAGGACCCTCGTGCATTCGGCTGGGGTTCATCCCAGGTGGTGTGCCATGGTAACCCAGAGGACACCCATGTTATAATTATTGGCACATTACAAGCATTGAATGCATATCTGGGTGTCACCCCAGGTGGTGTGCCATGAAAAATTAGCCAGAGGACACCCATGTTCAATATGTACACTAGGTACAGAAAATATACATATATGTATCCCTGTGAAGGGTACTCTGCAATACACTTAGTTTCCTTAATGATCAAATCGTATCCAGCAAGTGGAGTGGTACTGTCGCTTTAATGTAAAACTGACAGGCAGTGTTTAAACATCCATCTATGTATGTGGAGATCAGTTTGAGCTGAGCTGATTTACTGTGGAGGCAATCCTGAGAAAGGAAACCAATGCTAAGGTGCAGATCGGGTGGTGTGCCAAGAAAAAATACCCAGAGGATACCTATGTTTAGAATGTACACTAGGTACCGTAAATATATATGTATCCCTGTGCAGGGCAATCTTTAATACACTCAGTCTCCTTTAATGATTTGCATGCTCAAATATCCAGCAAGTGGATTGGTTATTAGTTCATATATGTGAAACTGACAGGCAGTGCAAAACACTCATCACCAGTACATGGAGCGGTTTGATATAGTGAGGGTGTGATGAAGTGCCCTTCGCCACTTGTGCCTGGAGAGGACTGCTTGCCCGCCTCCTGCCATGTGACTATGGTCCCTGGGATGTATTGCCCTTTAAAGACATGATTTGGGCATAATGGATTTGTGTTGTGCTGCTGCTGGCCCTTTAAGAACCATCTGGGGACATACTGTGGAGTTACTGGGTGGCCACCATTTCCTGTATCAGAGGCACATGGTGAGAACAATGGATGGCAGCCATTTTAACTCACAGAC